ATGCAGAGGTTTTACTTCAACAATCGGGAAGGTACCTGGGGGAAGCTGCCCACTCAGCCCTCCTACAGCCCAAGTCTCGCTCGTGCCCAGGCCCTGCAAGCATGAGCCCCTCTTCCCACCTGTCCATCCCATCTCTTCCATGAAGTGTGCCGTCCCCTGTTCCCATCAGCTGAGGGGATGGTAGAACGCCTGAGAACACGGGACTGAGCCACCAGGGGCAGAAGCAGTTACCCATATACACAGGCCTGAGGCTAGGACAACCAGTTGTCCCTCTTGCCTGAAGTCCCACATCCCAAGAACGCCCTCAGTTCTTCACAAGCCAGGACAGTTGGTCACCCTAACAAGGCTTAGTTAACTTTCTACACACAGGCTTGGGGCTCAGCAGCTCCCATCTGGTGGAAAACCTCTGTCTCTGTCCCTCTCAGGTGTAATTCTGCCTGGAAAAACTAAGAACTTTACCTTTTTCTTCAAATCTTTGAATGCTGGGATCTTCAGGGAGTGTTGGGAGTTTGGAACCCACCCTACCCTATTAGGAGGTGCTCTCCTGCAGGTCAACCTCCATGCAGTCTCCTTGGCCCAGGACATTTTTCGGGAAGAGAGGAAGTTATTGGAGGTAAGGGACACCAGATCTTAGCCCCTGCGGATACTCCGTAGGTAACGTAGTGTTCTTCCTGGCACTGCCTGCAGGGATCTTGTTACTTCCAGCCCTAGAGGCGAACTTTTAAAAAACAGATACTCTTGTTTAAAACCACTCCTCAGGGGGGCTTGTGATGTAAAAGATAGGTGAGCAGGCCAGAGAAGGGGCAGCTTTGAGCTCCACCATGCATGGCCCTACTTCGTTAGAAAGAAATGAGACTAGCCCTTAAAATGCAGACTGAATGGAAGTACTTCCTTAAGTATAAACACTGTTGTCTGGTGCTATCCAGTGGAGGTGCATTTAACTGGCAAGACTTCAAAACCAGACAAAACCAGAGAGAACGTTAACTAGTGGGCCAGGCACCAGGAGGGAGTGTGAGGTGGGAAGTGGAAATGTGCTGGCCCATCAGGCTTGCAGTCTGGCCATCTGGTGCTGCGCTCTGTGAGATTCTGCAGCAAGATGTGCTTTTTTTATTCACTGTGACCCCCAAACACAAGCCAGCTACTTCAGCGTTGGTTCAACCCCTGGTGAACAAAGGTGATTTTGACAAATGTAATGTGTGCTTCACTGCTGACTATCGGACCAACCTCTCTCACGAGATGCCCCTCCACTATTTTCTGTAGCAGTGACCATGTATCTAAGTCATGCTCTCAACAAGGCGGTCCCTGAGCCTTGCCCTTCCTCCTTATCTGGGGGAAATGCTGATTGTGTGGCCTCGTGGCTCCGTGAAGGAACAACTTCTCTGGGTCTGACCCTTCCTCTGGATCCTGTCAGCCTCTTTTAGGGAACAAGGATCTTTGGGGAGAACCGAGAGGTTTGAGTCTGGTAACAGGAGAGTACGTGTGTGTGTGTGTGAGAGAGAGACAGAGACAGAGACAGACAGACAGACAATGGCAAGAACTCTTGTCAACAGGAAGGCAGACAGTTCTGGGGATCTGCCTCCCCTTGAGGATGCAACATGGGTTTTGAAAGCCTGAGCTGCTGCTTATGCCATGTTCCTTTCCCCAGAGCAAGCTGGCCTCCCATGAAGCAGTCACCATCGTGGAGAACATGCTTCAGGAGCTTCTGACGGGGATCCTGACACCCGAGCGCACACAGTCACCTGTGGATGCCTCTCTCACTGAGGAGGACTTGTTCCACCATAGGAATCCTCAGGTACAGGCCCAGCGCTGGCCCCTGCCCATTTTTGTGTTTGCCCTGGGAGAAAGTAATAGCAAACCCTTTGTGTGCCAGGATCTGTTCTGAGAAACTTGAGTAACTCTGTTTCTTCACAGCAGTCCTATGAGATGGGTACTTTTTCTATCTTCATTTTACATGGAAGAAACTGAGGCCCAGGGAGGTTAAGTAATTTGCCCAAGAAAACTTAGCTACTATAAGTGAATGCTAGGTGATAACAGAGCTTCAAAAACTTATTCAAACTCAGTCTTCCTCGGAAGCCCAAATGAATAAGAAGCCTTAAGTTGGAGGTGCTCAGGTTGAGAGGGAAGTGGGGAGCCCTGTGAGCCCAGCAGCTCCTGCCAGCTTCCTCCTGCCTCCTCCATCAGTGCTCCTCGAGGGAACAAGAAGCTAGAGCAGGCTGGCTCAGGCTCTGGGTGCCCCGTGTCGCGCAGCCTGCCTGCCCGCCCCCGCAACAGGCCTCCCCTTGCCTCTGATGCAGCTGCATTACCAGCACCAGGTGGTGCAACATCTGCACAGTCTGTGGCGCCAGTACGTGATCCTGCCCCTCAGGGCTGAGGAGGCCAGGCCCGGCGAGGAGCCCCTCGGCCCCAGGGCCCAGGCTGCTGCAGCCCTGTCAGCCTGCTCGGAAGAGACCTCAATGAAGATGGAGTCTTCTGCACACGTTAGGGGCCCAACGTCAGACCCCCAGCTGCCCCGGCAGGAGAGCGAGGCCCTCAGGGACTCCCAGGATCATGTTGGGTCCCAGAAGGCCGGGCTAGGGGCCAGGCATTCTCAGCGGAAGAGCATCATGGAGGAGATCCTGGTGGAGGGGAGCCCGGATCTGGAGAGCATCAGGAGCCCTGGGGAACTGGATGGCCTTCCCCTGCCAGAGTGGAACCTCTGCCTGGAAGACTTCAGAAAGGTGCCTCCCAGCCCTGGCACAGCCAGGTGCCCATGCTTCTGCAGCCCCTTCCATCCCCATGGGCAGAGAAACCACCTTCTGAGGACCCAGATAAAGCAATCTCTCGGTCTTCTCTTTACCATGGGTGCCTTGGCCACTGTGGTGCAGGAGGAGCTCCTTCTCTGACCCGTGGAAAGGGGTTCATGGGGTACAGATTTCCAAGGGAGGGCACAGGCTCCCACAGAAGGCACCCAGGCAGACTCTCCTTGGCTGCATCCCCTCCTGGCCCCCTGCCCTCACTACCCCACACCTGTTAGTAGAAGATGCAGGAACCCTTGGTATCCCAGGCAGAACGGTTGCCCATGGTACCTCTGACCTGCCAGGCAGTGACGGCACTCCCTGAGGAGAACCAGAGAGAAGACGCCCTAATCAGGTTCAACAAAGCGGCCCTGGAACTGTGCCAGGAACCATGGCCATTGCAGTCTGACTTCCTGTACCAGATGTGGTAGGTACCCCCACCAGGAAAACTGCTCCCATCCCTTCCCCTTGCCGCGTCTGGCCAGGGGTTCTGGGCAGGCAGTCCCAAGACTCGAGGGGGCTGAGCTCTCTTTGAGGTCAGGTTGCTGAAAAATTCTGCAGACCCTTTGTGCTCTGGCAGCTGCCACAGCATCCATTAGAGCTGCGCTCCCCATGCCGGCCACCCTCTGAGAAGGAGTCATCAGAGTAAGCACCTTGTGGTTTTCCCCCTTCTTTCCTTGTTTCTTCTCGATGAGCAGATAAATGACCAGATGAAATAGCAGAGGACAGTGAGAAGAGGGGCCTGTTCCATGAAAAGCCTCAGTTGGTTGCCAGCCTTCCCATCGCCTGTTTAGAACTTGCTTGGATAGGCTTGGGGGCCTTCTGCAAGGCCCTCAGAACACATTTCCAGGAGTCTTATCCTGTAAATCTTATGTAGGTCTAACCCCTCCAGTGGGAATGGATCCGAGCTGGACTGGGAATGGTTTCAAGCTGGAGTTAATTCAAGACTGACCTAACCTTATCCCCAGGCCACTTTTTCTGGGCTGCCACCAAGGAAAGCCCGATCCCTATCCCAGCACTTGCACAGGTGCCAGTGTAGATGCTGGCTGGACAGAGGCATGATATTTCCATAGCAGTTCCTGGTACCAGTGTCTCAGAAGGGAAGGACCAAACCTCTACAGATTCAAGAGCAAATGAGCGGTGATGGCTTTTTTCCAATATGTTAGTTTGCAGCTGTGGCGAGATCTGATTGACAGCCTGGTAAGCCATTCCCTGTGGCTGAGGGCTCTGCTGGGCCTGCCTGAGAAGGAGACCATCTACCTGGACATGCCAGAGGAGCAAGGTCAGACACTGCGCACCTCTGCGTAGTCTTTCCCATCCCTCTGCCCAGGCGGCAGTGGTGCTTTAGCCATGTGTGCGCTGCTGGTGGAAACTCTGTGGGTTGGTCCATGGGGTAGGCCTCTTGCTTTTTATCTGCTGCCAGCAGTTGGGACCTGGAAGCAACATTTAACAATCACCTTAGTTCAGCCCCCATGTTTTACAGGTGGAGTCCCAGAGAGGCAAGATGACTTGCCATCCTGTACGTGGGGGAGTTGGGACTGGAACCTGGGTCCCTCCCCCATGCCCTGCAGTCATGCACTGGACCCAGGGCCTTGCTCCTGTTGGTGGGGATTCTCTCAAACAGCTTGAGCACGGCTGCCCAGGGCCCTTTGCTCTCCCAGCTTCTGCCTGTGGGGTCAGCTAGGCCACAGGCTATTTGTCTTCCGTTCACTTCCCTTAGATAGAAAGTCACCTCTTGTCACAGAAGTGAAGATGACTTCTGGGAAATTGGGAAAGGAGGACCGGAAAGGGGCATCCCAGGAAAAGAAGCAGTTTGGAATCAGAGACAAAGAAGATAAAAGAGGAGCCAGGTTGCCACCTGGGAAAGAGGCATGTAGCACATGTTCTGGGCCTGGGGGTGGGGCTGGGGAAGGGATAGGAGGGGCTGCGGAAAGTGGGCAGTCACTCCAGCATGATGCCCCTGCTCCCCCTCAGAGCTGCTCTTGAAAAGGTACTGGACCTCCCTCGGGAGCTGCTGAAGGCTGGGCATGTCTGTGTCTCTCCAAGCAGGACCGTTTAAATAGCAAGAAGCACAAAACAAAGGATGACAAGAAACCAGTGAAATCTTTAAGCCGGGACATGTTTTCCTTGGAAGAGCCTGCCCCCGACAGCATCATCCCATCTCAGGAACCCGTAGATCCCCTGGTCATGGAGAAATACACCCACAGGCTTCACACTGAGGTGAGTGCAAGAACCTGGCACTCAGCCCTCCCGTCACTCACACCTGCCTGCATACCTTCCTCTGCTCCCTCACCTCCTGGTTCACTCTGTTTATCCCACAAACAGTAAGTGCCTCCTGCATCTGTGATGGAAGCAAAGCTGCCCTTGTGAAGGGCATTCTAGGATTCAAGACAGACCTCATGAATAAGTAACAGATGTGGTATGTTAGGTGATGAGCACTATGGGAAAAAGAGAGCAACCAGGGCTAGGGGGTAGGGAAAGCGCAGGTGGTTGGTAGGTGGGGGTAGGTGACGTTGAACAAAGACTTGAAGAGAAGTGAGGAGTGGCCATGTGGACATCTAGGAGAATGCCGTGGGTAGAGGAGGGAGTGGGCCAAGAGGACAGAAGGGCAGAGACCACCAGGAGAGAGACTCCTGGGTCATGTGGGGCTTTGTAGGCCATTGTGAGGACACACTGTTTTGAATAGAGGAATATAGTCCGATTCATGCTTTAGATCATTCTGGCTGCTCTTTGGAAATAGATGCTGGGGGCACAGAGCACAAGCCTGTCCCTTCTGTTGCTCCCTCTTCTTCTCTGTATTTGGTGTGTCTTGAGAGGTCTGTTCCTTGGGTGAGCACCACGTAGAGTGAATTCCCAGCAGCTGTAAGGGTTTTGAAACACTGGAGAGAATTTATAACATAAAACATGTTCTTAAGCTGTAGGTCCTTAGGGATTCACCTAGATGTTGTGTTCTGTTCTTTTTGTCACTGTTGTTGGTTTTGGAAGAGAGATCCACAAAGCCATGTTAGATATGTCAAGGAGTCTAATGGCAATGCTTTGTCTTCTTCTGGTGCAGACAGCTGAGTAACTGGGATTGCATTGTGCATTTGATCACATTTAATCAGAAGTTCCATTTGCTGCTGGTAACATCACTGAGATTTGTGAAGGTCCATGGGGTCTAGAAAGAAATCATAGGGCTCTGAGGACCCATAGAGTAGACTCTTGCTTAGCTCTTTGGAATTAAGAATCAACTTGCTGAGGCTTATATGGTAAAGCCTCACCAGAGGGTACAGTCTTGGAGACATTTAGGTACATGGATCTTTGATCTTACTGGAAGGAAGGTTGGTCTCCAGGCGGCCAGGGTAGAACTGGGCCACCCTGAGGGACTAAATGGGCACTGCTCCCTGGGCCTCCCTGGAGTTGCCCCTTTAACCTTATGTCCCCATATGTCCAAGGGGCAATACAGGATTCCACCCCAGACTGTTTAAAAAAATAAAACTATTTGCAAAAACAAAAGTTCTACAGAAACTTTAGTTTTATCTCTACAACTTTAGTTTTCCCCCGTCTTCAGCTCTCCCTTAGGGTGGGGATGCTCCCTTGTGCAGGTGCTTTCCACAGAGTAAGCCTTTGCCTATGATGTTCACCCCATCATTCCAGGTCTATGGGCTGCTGGATGCCCTGGTGACTGACCTGCTGGCCCTGGCTGATGAACTCAACCCCCAAAAGAATGTTGAGGAGCCTCTGCGTCTCTGCACCTGACCCACATGCCTGAGTTGCCTCCTGGGAAACCGATTAACAAACAAATCAATAAAGAACCTTTATGTTCCTACCATTTCCCTTATGCCTCTGTGTCTTGAATGTAAGATCTTGATGAAGTCACTTATGGTCCTCCTGTGTCCCACTTGCCCTCAGATCCCCCTCCTCAGTTCCTGGAGCCATCCAGCAGGAGGTGGGAAGGGGAGGTATGGGAGGAGCAGTGGAAGAGCAAGTTGGCAGCAGGACAAGGAATGAATCGAGGTGACAGGACAGAGAGCATCACCTCTTGTGGCCCCTGCCTCCGGCCTTCGTTGGCTTACACATTTGGGAGTGTGCTTCCTGGAGCCAGGTCTTCCCAAAATGTCATCACAACATATGACACAGTGTGTGACTAGGAGGAGAACCAGACCCCATGGGACCTGGGTCCCTGAGGTCCTCACACTTCCGCTGGGCCCAAAGACCTCATCCCAAGCCCCGAGGATTGTGAGGATCATACCGCACTCTTAAACCCTAAAGGCCAGATCCCTTTGTCATCAGCCAGAGGTTATTCTGGATTCTAGCCTGCTTATCCCCTCCTCATGTCAAACCACCTGGCCTCTTTGAGCTTTTTTTTTTTTCCTCTGCTTTAAAAAGTCTCAAAAAAAAAAAAAAATAAAAAGTCTCAACTTTCTGCTCCCTCCCTTGCTCAGAGAAATATGAAGTGGATGAGAGATGATGCTTGCTAAGAAGCATGTTGTCAGCTCCAGCTCAGACTCATCACCATAAATTCTTCTCTCTCAATAATAATCAATCTGAGCCAGGTTTCCTGTGCAGAGTGGGCTCCAGGCTTCCAGAGTCTGAAGAACAATTTTGCTAATGGTGGCCTCATTGACTTAAATGCTGATGCAGCACAGCAGACAGGGAGACCCGAAGAGTGGCTACCATCTTCTACCCACCTGGTTTTGCATTTGGTGCTTCTGATGAGGACCTCATGGGCCTCAGGCGTCCTCCAGTCAAGATACGGCAGGTTTGGAGAGAGCAGGGCACTCTGAGCCTGATCTCAAGTCAGAGACGCAGAGAGGGCGCTGTGCCTAAAGTCCTGACGCCTCCTTCAGGGTGGCCGCGGGGACCAGAGGGAAAGCCAAACAAGGCAGTAGTCCACCAAAGGGCCAGCCCCAGGGAATGGTGGTCCTGGTCCAGAGGAGGAAGGGTTGGGGGGAGTGGGTGTTGGAGCCTCCCCTGCCCACCCTGTTTCCCCTGAGGAGGCAGAAGAAGGGTTAACTCACTGCAGAGTGGGGGTGAGTCCCCAGCACTGGCCCTGGATCTGTCCCTGGCAGGCAGGCTTCTCACCTCTGAAGGTGCTGCCTGCCTGGTCAGCAGGAAGGGGTTAACACACCCTGCGCTTCCTCCTGTGTCCTGTTACTGCTGAGGCAGACCTGCCTGGCCAGCTGAGCAACTTTCCTCCTGAGTGCTGCCTGCCGGTGAGGCGTCCAGGAAACATGTAGGCGGGAGGCAGGGCAGTAGCCCCTTCTGTGGACCCTGAGCCACCCTTCCGAGGGGTCTGCACCTCCTGGGAGACGGTGGGTCTTCGGGACGAGGGTCCGTGGTGGATGGCTCTGGGGATACTCCCGAGGCTGTGCCGTCCCTCTGCTGCGCAGGTTTGGAGGGTCACTGCAGAGACTGCCTGTGGCCCAGGGGCTGGGGCCAAAAGAGGCTGCATTGGAGGTAAGCTGTGGTGGTGCCTGGTATGGAAAGCTGGGGGCTTAATCTCTCTTCCAGGTCTGAGGGAGAAGGATGAGAAGGGCAGGGTCACAGAGGAATCTGGAGCCATCACCCCCCACCCCCAACCCTCCCCTGGAAGGGGGCCTCCGAGAGCTGGCTCCCCATCCCGGGACCAGCATCTTTGGTGGCATTCCACGCCTTCTCCTCAGACTCTGTTGTAGCTCTAGCCTCAGGACATCCCCCCCACCCAACTCCAGTGCCCCCAGGACACATCGACCTTCGGACTGACTTAAGCTTAGAGCTAGCATTCACTCCACTCAAGGCAGCAAGGGGCAGGGCACTGCCACTCCCCGCCCTACTCAAGCGGGACCTGGTGGGAAGGGGCTGCCTCAGCAGAGAACGGGAGGGGATGCTGGCCCATGGGCACACACACAGTCTTTGACAAACTCATGCACATGACTCAACATATCTGGGTTCTTTCCATCTCTCTGGATCCACTCTCTGGGAATGCCATCTGCTTCCTTAGTCCTGACAGATCCCCCACTGCTGCGGGCCCTGAGGAGAGCAGGCTCCTGTCTGCCTGTAAAGTTCTTGGTACCCATACACAGGAAAGAGCGGATGCTCTAGCCCCCAGGCCTGCCCCGCCCCCTGCCGGCCCTTCTCCTGTCCCCTCCTGCCTCTCCCACCCTCCCCCCATCTCTGAATTGGCCGCTCTGCCTGGACTTCTCAGTGTCCTTCCTTCCACCTGCCAGGGTCTGGCTCAAGGTCACTGCGGTAATTCCATACTAGGCTGCCTGGCTGCTGCCGCTGCTACTGCCACCACCTTATCAGCGGCTGGGTTTCTGTTTCACTCCCTTTTATTTCTGGGCATATTGTGTTCGATAAAACCCTTCGCTTGTAACACTGCTGGCAGCCCTCCCAGCCACCCCCTCCTGAGGTCCTTCCTCCTTCTCCCTCCCCTTCTTGCTCCCTGGGCCTCACCCTGCCTTCCCTTCCTCGCTACCGCTTCCCCTCAAACTTCAGTGGGGGTGGAGCCTCCTGGTCTTTCTGATTCCTCCCTTAGCCCCGCTTGGGCAGAGATGTGCAGAGAAGGCTCCTCCATTCCCACCTCCTAGCAGGAAAGTTCAAGCAGAGCCGCAGGGCCCACACAGAGGGTCCCCTCCCACTACCCCAGGCCAAGCAGGAGGGCCAGGGCTCCTGGTGGAGTCAGGATGCCCGACTGGTTCTCCTGGTTTCAGTGGCCAGCCCTGGGAGAGGCTTGTGCTCAGGCGGGCTCTAGGGCACAATTATTTCTCATCTTGACTCTTGCCACCTGCCAGCCCACAGGTTGGGGAGGTGAAGGCAGGTCTGAGTCACTAGTGAGGGGGAGGGTAGGCATTAAACGAGTGCTGGCCTGGGCATCCTCAAAGAAGGCCTGTCGCTGGGACAGAAAGACAGCAGACGGAAGGTAAGCCCATCCTCAGCCAGTGCTCTGGGGCTCGCCTGTGCTCACATAGGGTCCTGGGCTTTGGGCCCAGGCTCTCCCAAGCACAACCGGTCCTGATGAAAACTCCTAAGACTTTGAACGGTGCCCAGGTTGGCAGGGCTGGCTGGAGAGTTGAGGTTGGTGGGCAGGGGGGTGGGTTTGAGGTTGGCAGGGCTGGCTGGAGGGAGAGTTGAAGTTTGTTGGGGGGTGGGGGTGGGGAGCAGGGGTTGAGAAGCTCCTTCCAACTCCTGCTGAGTCCCAGGGTAGAGCTGAGAAGTACAATCTCCATGGGTGGTGCTGGAGGCTTTGGGTGGAGGCCAGGTCCAGCCATTGTGATTGTGTGTGTGTGTGTGTGTGTGTGTGTGTGTGTGTCCATTCCAGAGGAACAGTGATGGCAAGGGGAGAGGATTTGGGTTTTGATTTCTGGTAGGGTCCTAGAAGAAACTTTCTCTGTCTTGGACCTGGTCCTGAGGTTGTGGGGAGGGCAGTGGGCTGGCCCTAATCTTTCCTCAGCTGGGAGATCAGAGGTCTGTCATGGGCCCAGGGCTTTGGGGGTTTGGGAAACCCAGACTGACCTCGCCCTCAGGTCATTTCATTTTGCCTGAGAAGGTAGGACTGAGACAATAAAGCAACCAGGTGAATTAATTACAAAACTGGTGATGCTGACATTAAGTACTGCATTTGTCTTCTGATATGTACGTGTTAGTCCCAGCTAAGCCACCCACGGGTGACTGTGGGCATGCCATACCCCCTCTGGCTTCAGGACCCAGTGGGTCCTCTTTGGAGGCAGCCTCCCCAGACGCTCCTTCCTTGCCTTACTGCCTCATCCCTCCTCACTCTTCCCTTTGAATCTCAGATCTCAGCTCAGTCATCACCTCCTCTGGGAAAGCTCTCCTGATTTTCCTAGCTTGAGTATTCCTGTGCTCCTCTGCACTCCCGTGTTGCACTGTGATTGCCTGTACCCTCTCGACAGGAGGTGGGTGGGCCAAGACTTGTACTCTACGCTTGTCATAGTGCCTGGCTCAGAGAAATCCCCAGGAAACTGGTGTTGACTGAATCAAGCTAAAAAATAAATGATACAAAAACAGGGGAAAGTGAGGATGGAGAAGCTGGAAAGATCGGTCTGAAGCAGAAATAGGAGAGTTACCGAGGTACAAGCAAAGCAAGCAGGCGCTCCTTGGGGCTTACTTTTGTGTCCCTGACTAAGGGCAAAGGCTGTGGAACATATCTGCCTGGGTTAATCCTGGCTCCACATTCACCAGCTCTGTGATCTTGGACAAGTCATTTAATTCTTCTCTGACTTGTTCCCCATCTTCAAATGAAAATAATAATATCTTTGTAGGTGTGATTGTGAAGATTAATGAGCACACAAAGATAAAAGTACCTCCTGAATAATAAGTAAAATAAGAAAAATAAGTGCTTGCCAAAGGCTGTTCCTGGCAGCAGGGACACCCAGGCCAGGCCTTTAGTCGCTGGCTGCGTGGGGCCAGCGAGGTGGGCCATTATCCCTGAGCTCCAGACCCTCTCTTCCCCAGACCCATGTGGAAGCCAAGGACGCAGCTGCCCTGCTGAGAGCACAGCGCCGCACCCTTGGAGACCGTGACCTCACGACAGTGGCCCTCAGCCCTCCACCTCCGGCTGGGGCGGGGGCCGCCCATCTCCAAGTCCTCGGCCATGACGACGTCAGCGCTGCGACGACAGGTGAAGAACATCGTGCACAACTACTCGGAGGCAGAGATCAAGGTACGTGAGGCCACCAGCAATGACCCCTGGGGTCCACCTAGCTCGCTCATGTCCGAGATTGCCGATCTGACCTTCAACACGGTGGCGTTTGCCGAGGTCATGGGCATGCTGTGGCGGCGGCTCAATGACAGTGGCAAGAACTGGCGGCATGTCTACAAGGCGCTGACACTGCTGGACTACCTGCTCAAGACAGGCTCTGAGCGGGTGGCCCACCAGTGCCGGGAGAACCTCTACACCATCCAGACACTCAAAGACTTCCAGTACCTCGACCGCGATGGCAAAGACCAGGGCGTGAACGTGCGCGAGAAGGTCAAGCAGGTGATGGCCCTGCTCAAGGACGAAGAGCGCCTTCGGCAGGAGCGCACCCATGCCCTCAAGACCAAGGAGCGCATGGCATTGGAGGGCACGGGCATCAGCAGTGGGCAACTGGGCTTCAGCCGCACCCGTGGGTCCCCGTCCTCCTACAACTGTGAGTCCAGGGCATGGCTGGGGACAGGGAGGCAGCCCGAGTTCTGGCTCTGGCTCTGTGACCCCCAGCTGTAGATAAGAATCCCCTACTTGGAGGTGTGTCTGAAGATTCTGTGAGATCAAGAGGGTAACACGCTCGCACATAGTAGGTGCCCAACAAGTCAGTGTGAACAATGATGTTATTTATTATAGGTTTGTTATTGTTAACTCCTGCCTGGTACAGGGGTGGAGGCAGAAGCATGGGCTCAGTTCTTATTCTGCCCCTTCCAAGCCATGAGATCTCTGCCAACCAGCTTTCTGAACCTCAGTTACCTCATCTTTAAAGTAGGGATAAACTAATCTGTCTCCATTGTCCAATTTGAGGATTAAATGAGACCAAGCCCAGGAGTGCCCTCGACCCTGTGCTCAGACAGGCAGCACACAGCACTGCTTAGTAGCAATCCTCTTGAACCCCCAGCTTAAGGGCACTGCTCTTGAAAATTGGGGCAGCTGCATGCTCCACTCTCCTCCCTGAGAAGAGGGGCACTTCCCTGATCTGAGGGCACTCAGAATGACCTTCCTTAACAATGTGCTGAGGCCTTGGAAAGCTGTGACCTTGACTGACTGCAACCTCTTGCCCTCCCACCGCACTTGACCCTGAGCTGGGTGGGGCGCAGCTGGCAGAGTCCAGGAACTTGAATCAGGGAACCTGGGTTCAACTTGCTGCAGGACCTTGGCCAGGTACCCCTCAGAGCTGCTGCACCTCTGTAAAGGAAGGATTGGAATCTTTTATTGGGCTGAAATGGAACCCTTGCAGAAAGTGCCAAGCATACTGCTTGACCCCTTGGGGCCCAAGACTGCCAGTTGCTCCTCTCCCCCTCAGTTTCCCTCTCTGAGCTGTAACTTCTTGGCGAGGGGGGTGGTAGGGGAGCCCATGAGGACCTGCATGGTTACGGAAGCCACGATGGGTGGCTGGTCGTTGCAGCCTCCTCCTCATCCCCCCGCTACACCTCAGACCTGGAGCAGGCCCGGCCTCAGACATCGGGAGAAGAGGAGCTGCAGCTACAGCTAGCCTTGGCCATGAGCCGCGAGGAGGCTGAGAAGGTGAGGCCCCTCCTGGGGCACCAGGGGGATGGGGGGAGGGGGACTGGAGGAGAAATGGGTGCCTGGATGCCTCACACCTTTGATTCTTGGGCTCCCCTACTCTGGGCCCCAAAGCCCTAGTCCTGCTCCCAAGGACAGCACAGGGCCTGTGTCCCTTGGGTTGGGTTACTGGGATTGGGGTCTGACTCCTCACCCTGGGAGTGGGGTCCTCTCTGACTGGGCCTGGAAGAGGTAGTGTGTGCGTGGTGGGTTGGCAGTACCTGTTTGTCACATGGGCCTAATGTCACCTCATGGAGGGGAAGGGATGAGTGTACTGGCAGACACCTTCCTAGAAGACACAGAAATATGCTGCTCCCATCATCAATTCTTGTGGGGGTCCAGGGACAGCCTACCTGACAGCCTCCTCTCTGCCATGGCCTCTGTGGATCCAGGCAGATCTGGCAGGACTCACACAGCAGGGCCCGGGGAGCACTCAGGGTCCCAGAAGAGGATGACTCTTCTTTTTAAACTGCGTCTCAGATCCAGATCCAGGCAGGGAGCAGACTACACTCACACTGCTGTCTGGGGGGCAGGCTGCCCACAGCCACTCAGGGTGGGTGTTTCTCTTACCTGCACAGGGCGATGTTGCCTTTTGGCCCAGATAGGAGCACTGGGCCAAGTTCACCCCTCTTTTCCTCCCTCGCAGCCGGTTCCCCCAACCTCCCACAGGGACGAGGACTTGCAACTGCAGCTGGCTCTGCACCTGAGCCGGCAGGAGCAGGAGAAGGTAGTGGGCTAAGCCGCCCATGCCGGTGCTGGCGGAGGTGCTGGTGAGGGGCTGAGGAGGGGCTGGTGGAGGTGCTGGTGGAGGTGCTATGAGGGTACTAACCAGGCTCTTCCGCCTCCCTGCTGTGGTCCTGCTGCCCCTGACCTCAGGGCGCCTCCCAGCCTGCACTCTTCTTGACTCTAGCCCAGGTCCCCTCAAGTCTAGCACAGGAAGCTCATGCTCTCCTCACTCTGGTGATTTCTGCAGGAGGTGAGGTCCTGGCAGGCAGATGACTCACCTGTGGCCAGTGGTGCTGGAGCTGGAGCCCATCGTCGTTGGGACAGAGAGCCTGAAAGAGGAGAGAGAGAGGAGGAGGAGAAGTTGAAAACCAGCCAGGTAGAGGAGTCTTGGGGCCATGGGTTGGCAGGGCCTGGGAGATGCATTGAGTTAAATATTTATAAAGAGCGTAGAACAGTGATTGGTATATAGTAAGCACCACTTAATGTTTATTCAGTGAAAATAAGGGTAGAGGGGATGTAGCAGACTCAGGTCCCATCCTGCATGGGCTGGTGACTGAGATGGTGGCCAAGTGGGATGCAGAACATTCTGATGTGAGATGCCAGGTTTGGATTCTGCATTTGCTGCCATTTACTTTACAACTCAGGGCGTGTCATTGTCTTGGCCTCAGTTTCCTCCTCCATTTAAGTGTGCCGGTTGGACAGTTCCAACTCTGACATTCTAGGAGCATGTAATACTGTGGATCAAGACTGAGAGTAGCCTCAGGTATATGGTACTGAAAACATCTTGGGCTCATACACATACTGTCCAAGGTGGAAGAGTGTGTAGCTGCTGGTAGCAAGGCTACCCTCCAAAACTGTTCATGCTACCCTCGGGATGTCTCTGTACTCTTTCAACCAATGTTCACTGTGGCAAATTTCTTTTGGACATGGACTTAGGGAAGTAGGCTTATCATAAAATGTGTCTTACCACCAATGGGCTGAGGGGCAGGACAGCCAAGGAGGGGTCAGGCAGGCTTGCCTTCCATCCCAGCTGTACCTCTCCCTGGCTGTGTGACTTTAGGCAATTGCCCTCTTAGCCCAGGCTAGCACATCTGTAAAATGGGCACCCCAACAACCTTCCCTAATCACAGCACAGGTTGTTAGGAAAGTCAGACACTAAATGGATGAGGAAACATTTTATAAACAGGAAAGCACTGTGCAGAGGCAAGGGACCATTAATAGATGTTTGTGGAATGAATAAAGGAGAATGAGCTGGAGTGAGGATGACAGGTCAGGGTCCGCCCTTCCTCTGGGTCCTGACTTCTCTTGAGCATGGCTGCCTCTCCCCTCAACAGTCCTCCATCCTCGACTTGGTGGACATCTTCGCATCAGCTTCAACCCTGCCTTCCACACACTGCTCTGCTGACCCATGGGACATCCCAGGTGGGCATGCAGGGCTGCAAAGGGCTCCCAGGCTGGCCCCAGAGAGCTCCTTTCCTCTCAGACACTTGCTGACATTCCTTCCCCACAGCTGAGGGACACTAGGCAAGTCCTTCACCTCTCTGAGCCTTGGCTACCTCTGTGCCTTGCAGTTGGAGTGAGGGAGGGGACACCTCCAAGGAACTCAGCTTACAGGAAACTCAGAAATGTTCTCTTGTTGCTTCTGGTCACCCTGAGTTTCCTGGCCCAGGCTGTCCCTGACTGGGAATGTGGCCTGAGCTGCCCATGCCTGGAGGTCCAGAATCCTAGGATGAACTTGCTGAATATGGGCTTCAGCTCACTGGGTGGTCTTGAGTCTGTATCCCATGTGTGAAATGGGCCCTTGTCCTCCCAAATTGGTCTGGGTAACTGGGAAGGCCCTGGCCTGGGCGTGTCAGTGGCCTGGGGTCACATCTGTGCTATCCCCATTTCAGGTCTCAGGCCTAACACAGAGCCCAGTGGCTCATCATGGGGGCCTTCGGCAGATCCCTGGTCTCCAGTTCCCTCAGGAAGTATCATGTCCCAAAGTCAGCCCTGGAACTTGCCCCCTGTGCTCTCCTCCTCCGAGCCCTGGGGCCGGACCCCAGTGCTGCCTGCTGGACCACCCACCACAGACTTCTGGGCACAGAACTCCCCCCACCACAAACTCCCCAACAATGGAGACAACCCCTGGGGGAACCTAGCAGAGACCTTCAACACACCTGGTAAGTGGAGGGTCAAAGGGTGTGGGTGAGGGGCTGGAGAACTTCTGGCCCCCCTCCCTCCAGTGCCAAGGGGCAAGAGATCCTGTGTTAAGAGGGCAACTGCCTGGAAATGGGCCAGCCCAGTGGTTGCCCTTTCTGCCAGCCCATCTCATCTTCCTTTTTCTCCTTGGCTAGCGCTAAAAGATGGTTCTTCGACCTTTGACCCATTGGCCAAGCCTCCAGTATCCACAGAGACCAAGGAAGGGCTGGAATGCACCCAGGCTCTCCCCTCTGGGAAGCCCAGCAGTCCTGTGGGTAAGCAGGAGGCAGGGAATGACTGCAACTGTGGGGAAAAGATGGGCCCCCAGCACTGGCCTCAGCCTTCTTCCTCTCACGGAGTGACCACTCACTCTCCCTACCAACAAGCCCTATCACTTCTGTTCCAGAGCTGGACCTGTTTGGAGACCACTCCCCCAGTGTAAAGCAAAATGGGACAAAGGAGCCAGATGCCTTTGACCTGGATGTACTAGGGGAAGCACTAGCCGAGTCCAGCAGGGACACCCCAGCGCGTCGGACCCCTGAGTCCTTTCTGGGCCCCTCAGCCTCCTCCTTGGTCAACCTTGACTCATTAGTCAAGGTGCCCCAGGCTGTAAAGACCCGGAACCCCTTCCTAACAGGTAGGACACTCCCTTGTCCCTGCTGGGGTCTCCACACTGGGGTCCACTACTCTGTTTCTCCCTTCTGAGCCCAATCCCTGCCCTCAAATCTTAGCTCTTTTTTTTCCTATTTCTAAGACCCCAGATCTTGCTACCTTACCCCCTTGCCCCTCCCTCCCCACTTAGGACTATGTCCCCTTGGCCCGCTCTAAGTCCCTCAACCCACTCTCGTTCCGCAGGTCTCAGCACTCCATCCCCTACCAACCCGTTCGGCGGGGGCGAGCAAAGCAGGCGGACTCTGAATCAGATGCGCACAGGATCGCCAGCGTTGAGCCTGACGGCCGGTGGGCCCATCGGGGCGCCCTTTGGCTCCATGACCTACAGTGCCTCCCTGCCCCTCCCGCTCAGTAGCGTGCCGGCCGCCGTGACCCTCCCTGCCTCGGTCAGCGTCTTCCCCCAAGCCCGCGCCTTCACGCCGCCGCCCTCCGGGAGCCTGCCGCAGCCTCTGCTGCCCACCTCGGGCTCCGCCGGACCGCTCAACCAGACCCCTCTGACCGATACTAATCCTTTCCTCTGAGCAACGGCCCCGCCCCCGGCCGCCGGCGCGTGCGCGCGATGCCCCGTCCCCGCCCTGAGCTAATTACACTGGGCCCCGCCCCCTGGCGCGGGGCGGGGCGGAGCTTCCATGCCAGGACCCGCCCCTGGAAGGAAGGAAAACTGAGACTCCGCCCAGAGACCGGTCTGGACGCTGCCCCTAGCTTCCGCGGACGCTTTGCAGCTCCTGGAGCTGGAGACTTCACTGGGGCAGAGACCACGCCCCGTAATAAAGACTGGAATCCATGTCCTCAGCTCTCACCAAGTGGACTTTTTGCCGGGCGTGGCGGCCAGGTCTGGACCACAGCTTGAATCACTGGCTACCCTGGAAACGACTGCTCCACAATGTGGGGCACAAAAATGCTCCCACTTCCCATACAGCCCCCTCAGCCTAGCACCTTCGCTTGTCCATGCTCCTGAGACCCTCTCAGTCATTTGATCATTTCATCCATTTATTACACAGCGGCTCGGGGAATAATCTAAAAGCAAAGGACAATAGGCAGTTGTTCCCTTGCACAATCATTATGTGCTAAGCACCTTAGACAGATTATTTAATTTAATCCTTGCATCAGTATTCTGAGGTAGATAATATTACTCCCATTCAGGACTGGCTACATAATTAGTGCAAAGTAAAAATGTGGGGCCCCTTGTTCAAAATTGGGTTAAAAATATCAAAATGGGAGCAGCAAAGCATTAGACCAAGGGCAAAGCCCTTGGCCCTGCTCCTTCTTTATAGGTGAGGTTTAGAGAGGTTAAGCAGTGTGCTTAAAGTCACAAAGCTAGCAGAGTAGCGCTGGGATTCCAAGTCAGGAGACTTGGCTCCACTGCTCTGAGCTTCCATGCTGGGCCCCAGTATTCACAAGTATTGACTGGCTGCTGTGGACAAAGCACTGGGCTCATCTCGGGAGGGACTCAAGAATTGCTAAGTGCACAGTCTCCAGGAGCTCAGAAGCCACAGGGGCAAGCCTGGTCCAGGAGCCCCCACAATCCTTTGTTTTACTGAGTCACCTTAAATCTGGTTCTTCTCTCTTCACCAGGACTGGCAAAAAACTCAATTTCAACCATGACCCCTCCTAGGGGGCTGGTGTAGATCAGAAACCCAGGGGAGGAGCAGAGCCTATTGCCTCATCCTGAGGGCCACCATAGTCACCCTCATTCCTTTTCTACTCAATGCTCCCCCCAACCATGGGCACTGGTGTGTCTTCAGTGCTCAGGGGCTGGCCCTGCAGACGGCAGGCCTTTTGGGGGCCTGAGGTAAAATGTCCTTCCATAGGCCAGAAACAGCAAAGTTGAGGGGAGGAAAAGTGCTGGTCTTTTTCCTAAGGTGGGGGTGGGGCACGGAGCTGCTTTGCTTTTTGGAGGGAGGCAGTCCTACTGTAGCTGCTACAGACAGGGTGGACAAGAGCATCTACTTAGCAGTAGGACTGACAGCGTTCAAAACTGCTCTAAGGTTTCCACTTAATCACTTGTAATAAGTGGTTATGCTCTTTGACCTTGAGTAAATAACTTAACCTCTCTATGACTGTGCCTCCATTTCCTTATTTGTCAGATGAGGACAAGAGTTCCTTACTTATGAAGTGGTTGTATGGTTCCTCCCAGGCCAGTGTCCAATTCAGCCCAGGGTCCACCCTGTTCAGAGACTAACCTTGAAGAATGAATCTGCTACACCCCTCATTCCTGGTTTTGCCAGGCAGTACCCAGACCCATCTGTCTTCTGCACAAATCTGGGAGATCTCCATCCTTCTTGGTCACTGACCCACCTTTCACCCTTCCTCAACCTGGGTCTCCTCTTGTTAATTGGCTCTCCCTGTGGACACCACTTACACAAAGATTCCCAAGGGGTGCTATTTTGCTTCCCACCAAGAGGAAGTTGATAATCTGGCTCTTTATCTTGCTCTGGACCATCTTCTGCCTGGAAGACCCCTCCCCTCCTGGAGGTTGGAACCACTGGGTGTCCTGCCTCCTCCCACATGGGGCTGTGCTCCACCTCATTCTTGCCATGCTCCAGCCTTGGCTCATGCATGGTCTTCTCACCCAAATCTTGCTCAATCTTGTATGACTCCACTATCCAAGATGATGATCTCACCTCACCACCCCTTGACCTCTCAGCTGCTGTCACATCTGGTCACACTTTGGGGCTCGTCATCATCCCAGATTCCTCCACATTGAAGGCAGACTTCCTGTTCTCTGATCTTAACCTCATTCCTTCCAGGAAGCATGTACACCAGGGTCTCCCACCAGCTGACACTTCCATCACCTCACTATCCCAGTTTCTCAGAGGTCTCTCTCCTCCACATCATCAAATGCTTTCTCTCAACTGAACCTTCCCCATGATATTTGTCATGATTAACCGCATCCATCTTGAGAGTGTCTTTCCATCATTCCCCTCACATCAAGTGCTCATCATCTCTATGTCTTCTTTCCCCTCCCTCCTCAGCCCGCTCCAATCAGCTTCTACTGTCAGCCTCACTTCCTGGAACACATCTGCTATGTCCACCAATGACCTCCACGTTGCTGAAGCTAGTGGACCTTTTTCTGTCCCGGCCCAGTCGGCGTCTCTGAAGTTTGACTCTCCCTCCCTGCAGCTCTGTCCCTTTGTCTTTGAGACAACACCCTCTCCTGGTTTTCCCATGACTCTCTGTGTCTTTCACGGGTCCACTTCTGAGTTTGTCAAGGCCAAGTATGAGCTCGAGTCTCTCCCTGCAGTCACCTGGGTGATCTCTTCTGTGCCCACACCATCTCTGCACTGAGCACCCACTCTGCTTCCTCCCTCCCACCAACCCCTCCTCTGCATTCCTGAGCCTGTCATCTTCACACATGCATCTCATGGTCATCTCAAACCAACATATCCAAACAGGACCGCTTGAGCCTCTCCGTGTCCCCCTTCTCAGTACCAGCCCCATTCTGCACTTCACTTTTGACACACCCCCCCATAGACAATCCTGATGATGTTTCCTTTTCTGCTGACCTCAAGTCTACCACCTTCTCTCCATCTCTGCCTCTGCCTAGTGCAGACCTCCCAGAGCTCTCTCCTGGGTCCTGCTATGGCCTTTGAACCCTTCTGCTTCCACTCTTGCCTCTTTACAGTCCATTCACCACCAGAAAGCTGGAGGGACCTTTCCAAAATACAAGGTCACTCCCTCGACTAAAGCCCTTCCACAGCTTCCTTCTGCTCTCATTAGTAACCAAACTCCTGCTCACAGTTCAAAACCTGGCCCCTGCCCTCCTCCTTCTCAACGTCACTACCTCATCTGCGCTTCTCTTCCCTATGCTGTCTGTCCTACAGCTGTGCTTCTGCGGCACCTCAGCCCTGACTCACTGCTGTGCCACAGGGCCTTTGCACATCTGTTCCTCCTGCTTCCCCAGCACTTCCCCAGGTCCTTTCCAGATTGCATCCTCTTGCTCTTCGAAAGCTGCTACACAAATGTGATTTCCTTAGGAAGGCCTTCCCCCTCCTCTCTCCCACCAGACAAGTTTCCTTGTGATACCTAGTCATGGCACGTCTCACAGTGGGTGGTTGTACATTAATTTGTATGGCTGTTAAATTAGTTTTTGCCTCACTCATCAGACTGTGAGTAACACAAGGATGGGATGGCCTGGTCTCTCTCTGCCCACCATTGTACCTAGCAGAGTGTCTCATGGGCACTCAATAAATGTTGACAAAGGTAACCTATATACAGGTCAGGAAGCAAGTTAGAACTGGACATGGAACAACAGACTGGTTCCAAATAGGAAAAGGAGTGCATCAAGGCTGTATATTGTCACCCTGCTTGTTTAACTTATATGCAGAGTACATCATGAGAAACACTGGGCTGGAAGAAGCACAAGCTGGAATCAAGATTGCTGGGAGAAATATCAATAAAGATCAGTCCTGGGTGTTCATTGGGAGGACTGATGCTGAAGCAGAAACTCCAATACTTTGGCCACCTCATGCAAAGAGTTGACTTATTGGTAAAGACCCTGATGCTGGGAGGGATTGAGGGCAGGAGGAAAAGGGGACGACAGAGGATGAGATGGCTGGATGGCATCACCGACTCGATGGACATGAGTTTGGGTAAAGTCCAGGAGTTGGTGATGGACAGGGAGGCCTGGTGTGCTGCTGCCCATGGGGTTGCAAAGATTCGGACACGACTGAGTGACTGAACTGAACTGAACTGAACGGTAGCAAATGAGACTCGTAAAATACCTGATAGCACCTGAAAGTTGGTTCATTATTATTATTCAGAGGCTTCCTGAGGGGGTGGGGTTTGAGCAGGACCTTCAGGTGAGGGGGCAGGGCAAAGGCGAAGCTCCCAGTTTGGATGGCCTGGAAAAGCCACGCCTTTGCCTCTCACCTCATTTCTCATTTGTAAAACGGGCAAGGGTTGGAAAAAATGACCGGAGGCTCTGGCTTTCCACGGCCCTGGCATCCTCACAGCCTCCATATTCTCCGTAAGAGGGTTACCACCCCGCAGGCCCTGATTTACGTCCTATCGAGTCCACCCAGTTTTTCGCACAGATCTGTGTCCTCCCAAGCCCCGAGTATACGGTCTGCAGTCCCGTGATCGGCCACCGAGCGGCGCTCAGAGACCAGCCTGCTGCCCGCCGTATCGGCGAAGACACTCCCGCGGCCGGTTCGGTGCCTGGGTCTGCCCGTCGCAGCTTCCCTCCCGCCTTCCCTTCCGGTCCGCAGCGTCCGGGCCGACCGCCACCAGCAGCCATGCTGGGCGCGCGGACCTTACGGTGCCGCGGCTTCCTGCTGCCCGGGGCCGGGCCAGTCCTCGCCTTGAGCTACAGGTACGGGCGGGCGAGGGGCACGCTTCAGCACCTGGCGCCTGCGGAGCCCCGGGGTCAATTGTCCTGGCGTTGGTCCCCTGTGCCTGCCCGGTCACCTCCCCACCCCATGCCTGCCTTCCCCCCAGACTAGGGCCAGCTCCTGCGACCGGGCTCAGCCAGTAATCCTCTCTTCTCTCCCTCCCCTCCAGCTGCGGGGCTCACTTGCCGCAGGAACTCTGTTCTGACACCATCTCCA